CCCCAAAACCCCAAAACCCCAAAACCCCTTGTAAATAATTAATATTGTGTAAATACCATGTCGACTAGTCCTAAAGAATTTGGTTCTCCTGAAACTGCACATGCTGATAGTAGTCTGGAGACAAAGCTAGCAACGTATAAGCAGAAGTTGAAAATACTTAAATAAGGCATATATTGAAGAACAGACTGCAAAAGAGGGATTTAAGAAACAAATCCTCTCTTTGTGCAACTCAAATGAGAAACTCCAGAAAGATTTAGAAGAAATGGAGGTAAAGTATCTCAAATCTTACCGGAGTAATCAAGAATTGCATGACCAGATTATACAGGAAAAGACTGTTTCCTCAGGAAACAGAGGTAGCCTATATTGGGGGAGCAAACCGACTGGAGAATCTTCTCCCAAGAAGAACAGTGTAGAATCTCCAACCAAGGAACAGAACGGAGAAGTACTTACCTTAAAAATAAATCAGCTTGAGAAGCAGATAAAGTACCTTGAAGGTAAGATTGAGGAAAAAGAGCATGAAGTTGAGGAAAAACAAGGTGAGATCAGGGACACCGAGGATCGCCTTAAAGAAATAGATAATGAATTTCGGCACTACAAGCATGAATTCGAGGCTGAACGTGGTAAACTCCGCAAGCAATTTGAAGCTAAGAGGAAGGAATTAGAAGTGAAACTTCAGGAAATCTTAAAAGAAAAAGAATCATTTAAAGAGGAACAAGAGCGAATAGCCAAAGAGAAGATCCAGCAGATCCTAGACAGTACTGAGAAAGAGAAACAAACTCTAAAGGAAAGAATTGAGGTAAGCTACAGGATGTTCACAGCTGGTTTTAATCAGCTTGAAACCAGAGCAGGTGTAATTTTGTGCTAGGTCTTGGAGAAAGAAATTAATGAAAAGGCAGATGAATTTTTGGAACAGGCTGTAAAGATGGATGAAATAAAGACAGAACTAACAATCTCTAAAGAGAATGAAGTAAAATTACAAAATGACAATGAATGACAGAAAGATATGATCGCTGCGATGCAAGTCATTCTTCAAAAGCACGAAAAGGAGAACCAGCAATTAGCAGGGAAATTGATGACAGTGAAGCAGCAGATTATAGATTCCTGAATATTCAAAACAGAGAATAGGAAGTATTCTGGCACTAGGGTCACATCATTCGGAAAGTCGCAAGCAACCCTATACTTCACTGAAGACGATGTGGGTGATAACAAGACAGATCCTATGTTCTCTCTCGTGCTTGAGTATGGAAGTGGAAAGGCATTTAAAGTTTCAATGAAAAATTTAACAGATTTTTACCTTATCGAAGGGACAAATCAGATATGATTCTCATGGCCTGAAAATTCCTGGCTGAAGAAGAGCAGAACAGAGACGTTTGATTCTGAAGAGTCTGATGCTATAGTTGAGAGGTACCTTCAGATAATGGAGCAGATGGACATACCTCAGGAGACTGAGACTTCATCGTAGGTCATATTACGATATTTCTCATAATTATCAACTAGTATTAATTTAATAGGGGTTTTGGGGTTTTGGGGTTTTGGGGTTTTGGGG